AAAAGGAAAGGGAATCTTGAGACTCTGGAGTCACATGGATCTGACTATGTGGTCTTGAATAAGTCCTAGTCCCTCTTCAGTTTCTCTTATTATAATAACACTGCTGTCTCCCATGGATCATTGGGAGAACTACAGAAGGTATCAAGAAAGTGCTTAGCACAAAGCCTGGCACATGGGGCATCCCACATCCATGAAGCCTTTCTCCTGCCCCTTCATCTAGATATGAGAGCCTAAGAACCTGCTCTAAAAATGAGAATACCGAATGTGAGAGCTTAGTGTATGCAGAGTACAGTTATAAGCATCACGTGTATGTGTGTGTGTGTGTACATACAAACACAGCTGGTATATACAAACTTGTCCATTTGACCTTTTTTGGCCATTCTGAGGTTAAGGAATAACATTAATCTCATTTCAGTGAAGGAATCTGAAGGACAGAAAAGTTAAATTGTATGTGAGGGAGGATGCAAGCCCAGGTCTCCTGGCTCCAGGCCCCACCTGTTAACCTAACCATCAACTAACAGATCAGCTGTGGAGCTCCTCACCAGCAATCTCCACCAGCAACTTGCTAACAGATATCAGCAGGCTTTTCCCTGAAACCCTTGGGTCAGGAAAATAATGGGAGTATAAAGGGTCAGGCAGGGAATTTCTGGAATTCACAGGGTGTTTTATATAGGCGCTGGAGCCCCCGGAAGCTGTCTCCCAGGGCTCTGAGGACACCACTCACCCTCCACCAGCAGGCACACAGTCCCCGCTGACTGGCCATCTTGGTAGCAGGAATAGTTTCCAGAGTGACTGGGCTGCACTGAACTCAGAAGCAGACTGCTCCCCACGCTGGCCCATCTGCCACGAGCCAAATTCTTGAGCAACCAGCGGACGGTGCCGTTGCTTCCTGGTTTCACGCCTGGGCAGGTCAGCGTAACATTGGCCCCTGGCAGGCTTGTCAGCACATCACTTCGGACATCTGGGAATGAGAAGATACATTCCATAAGCCCACCAGAGTAGACTTCATTTGATTTTGAGAAACCACTACAGGCCTCAGCATTAAGCATCTCTCAAGTCTATCCACTCTTCACTACCCCACAGGCACGCCCTGGTCTAGGCCACCAGCACCTCCTCCTGCATCACAGCAAGAGCCTCCCAGCCCAGCCCAGCCCAGCTCTGTCTGCCCAGAGTGAACCTTCTAAAGAAATGATAAGGCCACCAACTACCTTGGTAAGAAACCCTTCAGAACATGCTGCCATTCATTGGATGGTCCACCAGGCTTTACAGACCTTTATGACTTCATCTCTTCCCATTTCACCTTAGAAGGATTCACCTCCTCACTTCACCTTAGAAGAGGGGTGGGTCTCCCCCCAGGCTCTCACAGTCAGGATCCTTCATCCATCCCCATCCTAAAGCCTATTTCAGATCTCCGCCTAAATCTCTCTCCTCCAAGGCCTTCCCTACTCCTGAAATTCAATTAACCTAAAGCCAAACCTATGGACTTAGAGTCAGATCTCAGAGCTCTATCAGGTTTCTGAGGCTGTAAATATTTATGAGAGGTGACAGCCCATTTTCTTCCTCAGAGCAGCTGATGTTTTTGAACTGCTGACCTTTCAGCTAGCAGCTCGATATGTTCTGTGCATATGCCACCAGAGTTCCTTCTTTATTAGGCCTTTATTGAACGCTGCATCCCCATCAGATCATTCACCATGCATTGCTGTAAAGTGAGTAATTCATATCTGACTCGCCCTCAAGACCCTAAGAATCATGAAAATAGAGATGCGAGGGGTTTTTCCCTCCATCATATTCCAGTGCTGGAACATTGCCCAGCACATCACAGTGGTCCATCCGATGGATGTGTGAATGAAGGTACGCACATGTGAATTAATATCACGTACCAGGTGAGACCCACAGGTACACAAGAAGCCTCAGTTACAGGACCTTCCTGGTAGGACTGTCCATTTTACAGAAGGTAAATGAGATAAAAAGGCACAGACTTGCCCCAAATCACCAAGACAGCTGCAGAGGTAAGATGCAAAAAAGGCCTTCTCATGCCCTCTTCAGTGTGTACTGATTTACCGTCACCATTTGTAAATGGAGCGGGTGCAACATGGGGATAACCGAGCCTGACTTCTACTTGCTTCATGAAGAGGAACTGTCCCCATTAATAATGTCCATAGCACCACCCAAATAGCTACATAGTCAGACATACCACCCCCCATGCTCCTGTACCTATTTTTACCAATCATTGGGTCCAAGGTTCATTGCAAGACTCACAGACTTTACTCACAGTAGCTTATTAGGGAAATAGGTTGGAGAGTAAGGGAGGCAAATAATATCTCACAATGCAAGTCCAGGTTTAGTCCAGCAGTCCCTAGCCAGATTAACAAGACATAATTCCTCAACTAGTGAAAAGTCCAGTTCAGTTCAACAGCATAAATGCAAGAGACCTCTAGTTTACTCAATCATCTAGCAAACTTTATCTTAAGGCAGTTATAAGTCATCTTTTCCTTGAATTATCCATAAAGCAAAATCTTTAACTATGGCCTTTATCTCTAGGGTTCTTCTGGTTACACCTTGCTACAGTCTTTTCCCAGCAGTGCCACAGTTTCTTCACTATTTCTCCATCACCATCACTGCCGCTTTTCAGTGTGGAAAATGCCCTTTTATATTGGCCCCACAGCTGTTGATGATTTCCAAGACCATGTGTCCACAATTAAGGTGGCTGGAGACAATGCTCTCCCCCTCCCCGACAAACAGGGGTTACCACAGTGGCTAGAAATGCCAATTTTCAAGAGGTCTGACACTCTACCATTTAGACAATGATATTTTTATCCTAGGGACCAAATTGGAAGGTAAAAAACTGCTCTTCTCAAACCCTGAAATAAAAGTGTGTAGAGAAAAAAAAAAGTGTTCCATGGGCAAAGAACGGGCAACCTCCTCCCGTGTTATTAACTGCCTCTGAAAACCCACTGGAGGGTCAGCTATGGGTTGGTTCTGACTCGATGATACACAATAAAACAACAATAACAACACTACTCAAAGAAAAGGAGGTTGAAGATGCAATAATGTAGTGGGTTTACTGTTCAAAATGGCTTTCATAGCCCTCTGACTTTGACTTTCCCACATGGGTGGTGGCAGCATGCACACCAAGTTTGTAGACTGTTAAAAAGGGGATTAATCAATCATGACATCCCTCGGGTTTAAAGAGAGCGGGTCCAAAAACAAATAAAGAGAGCAGGTCCAATGGCAAAAAAAAAGGAACTTGCTACTTGCAAGAAAGAATTAAGAAGTCCCATGTGAATCCATTTGAGCCAATATTCCTGCGCCAGTCAGACTGGGACTTAGGTGAGATCAGCAGCAGAGAGCCAAGGACTAACATGAGACAGAATTCACCCGACATGGCCACCCCACAGAGCCAGAGCCAAGGGCCTGCGTCCAAGCTTGCTGGAAGAGATGCCTTAACTGGCAGGACTAAGAGCTTTACAACACTGGCCTGAAGCCTGAGGCTGAAGTGAGCCTGTGGGCACCCGTAAACAGCTGTCTTGACTAAAGAACTGTATCCTATTTTCAACCTGTTTAATTTCCTAATAAACCCCACAATTGTAAGTTTGATCTGTGTGGCCACTGCAATGGATTCACAGACCCAGGAGCAGAGCAGCAAGAGCTTTGGGAGGGAGGGCTGGTCTTGTAATTGGTAGAAGCAGGTGCTGAGAGCCTGGGGGTGTCTGACCTCACAGGGATCCGTTTTGTGTCGTGGACAGTGAGTGTTCTCCCTTGTGGAGTTAGTGGCTGCATTCTTTCTACAGAATCAAAGAAATCCTTTGGTATTTTTTGCTTTGCTTTGCTTTGCTTTGTTTTGTTTTGTTTGTGAATACAGGTCTTAGAGTTATAGATTCTAATATATGAGGAAATGTCGCAGAAGAAATCTAGTGATCTGCTCCTGAAAAGACACAGCTTTGAAAACGCTATAGAGCAGTTCCACTCTGCACACATCGGGTCACTACGAGTCAGGTTAGTCCAGCCACCTCAGACTGAAGTATTAACCAACTGCTTAAATCAGTTTGACTAGCTGAGGGAACTGAGGCCAAGGAATACATCCAGTTTTCATGTTAAACACACTTGGTGTGCTTGTGTAAACCGTTCACTATCAAGAAGGAGCAAAACATCTGGCCAAAGATTTCAGAATGGCCCAGCAGCTGCCTGTACCCTGACCTCATCCTCCTCCTGCTGTGCTCCTGACACCAGAGGACAAGCTCATGTGTGTGTCTCTCTCAAGCATTCCTCTTTGGGAGGAGGCGTTCTTAGCTCATCCTTGGCAGACTGTCTCCTTGTCATAGATTGAACTGTGTCCCTGAAAAATATGTGACAACTTGGCTGCACCATGATTCTCAGCGGTTTGGCAGTTAAGTAGTGATGTACTCACTCCCCGTGATATGACCAGTCAATCAGTTACAAGGAGACCATGGTGGTATCTAAGGCTTTAACTCAGTCCATAGCTCCCTGATTTTAGAAGTTCTCCTGAGGTGTGGCCTGCATCACTTTTTATCTTACAAGAGATAAAAGGAGAAAGTGAGGAGAAATAGAAGTATCTCTCTGTGGTGTTAAAAGTTTAGCATTCTAAATGTCTATCCTAGCCAATAATTGCTTATTGTATTAAGGAGAGAGGGTTAGGGTGAGAGACAATCCCCACCCTACTAGAGGCTTATATAAGCTCCTGGAGCCTCATTGCAGCTCTCTGTTGGGATACTCACTTTCCGGATACACTGCAACTGACAGTCAACAACACTGACTAGTCTCTGCAAAACCAGCCTGTACACCTACAGTCATGTAAGTCATTCCTCTGATGGGTCTGAGTCTCTGGGACCTTCCAGTGAATCACCAAACCCAAAAGACATAGAAGAGTGAGAGAGCAGAACAAAAGATGGAGTACTGACATCAGAAATCATGGAGTTATACAGCAAATCAAGCATTTGGAACAATGTTAAGTTGGCACTTCTTACAACTGGTTTGTTACTAATCTTAGCAGAACAAATTCTGAATACCACCACCGACCAACAAGAAGGAAGTGCAGAGCCAGGGTTCCTACACTGAGAACCTCCTCGACCCAGAGGAAGAGTGATGGCAAGGCACATGGTGATCTCCAAGGAATGCCGGGACCACAGATACTTGAAGGCGGCAAGGACCTTCCCAGAGCTGCCAAAGAAAGAAAAGTTCCCACTGGAGCTGAGGCCTTGAATGTAAACTTCTAGCTTCCTAAGTTTTGAGAGAATACATTTGCTCATTAAAGTCATCCACTTGTGCTATTTCTGTTACACAAGCACTCGACAACTAAAACTTTATCTCCCTCTCACCTCATCCAGGCCACTGTCAGGGAGGAGGAACTAAAGCCAAAATCCTCCCAAAGTTGGAGAGTGGCTGTCCAGACTGGCCGCCGTCCAGGGACACAAACAAAGGAATAGAGACATCTTCTAGCCTGCAACAACCCTGTCTGCCACTCAGCCTCCTGTCAGTATCTTTCTCTCCTGACCACTTGGTGCCAGCATCCTCCACCTTAGTATGTTCTGCCAGAACCGTCACTAGGAGTGTGTGGGAGCTACAGACCACATTGGGGACACTGTGAATGCATGGGATGACAAAATGACTGAGCAAAAATCTTTTATGCTCATCAGAAATGTATTCTTTTTAAAAGTAAACCAAACCTCCATTTTTCATAAGCCCTGTTACACATACACCTGCAAAGCTAAAACGCTACACTAACTTACTTTTTTAATCTTCCAATGCATTCTCTATCTTACATACTTTGGGCATGTGGTAAAGAGGGGCCAGTCCTTAGAGAAGGAGGCTCTCAATGAGATGGATTGTCCTAGTGGCTGCAGCAATGGGCTCAAGTGTGTCAGAGATGATAAGGATGACGCAGGATAGGGCAGGTTTCAGATCTGTTGTTCATAGGGTCTCTATGAGTCACGTAGACTTGAA